GGCAGGAACCTTGCCCCAGTAGTAGAAATTGTGCACACGAATATTGCCTTCAATTATCAACTTCACCAATTAAACTGCCCTCCTAAGGATCATCAAGAACTTCGGTATTAAGTACATTAAAATTCACAGCATATTACTCTTAGTAACAGGAACTACCAGTTATTTTAGCAAAGAAGAGAAAATCTATAAAGACTTTTTATCCAAATTGGGTTTCTCGGCAAATCTTACACTTAATCACTACCTCACAATGGAAAATACTCCAGAGTCTACTTAACATTTAATATAACTTAAATCACAAAAGTAACACAAATGGATTAGAGCAAAACCCAAAATACCAACCAAATATAAAACAGAGAAGAATCAAATAAAAATTTCACCCACAGGTTGACCACTGCTGTTAAAATCCTGGTGCAGGGCTACTCACCCTGTTCCCACGTGTGTGGTCCCACACCTACCTTCAATATCATTCACAAGTTTACATCGTTTTTACTTCTTCCAGAGAATGCTTTTGTATGTGCACATACACATACATGTACACATATGAATACACATGTACATTATGTACACAGAGAGAGTCAAAAAATAAAGCTTTGGCAGCTGCAGAGTGCCATTCGTTGTCCAGTTGTATCACTTCACCTAACAAATTTTTCCTTTCCACTTAAATAAGATTTTATTCTTGATAGGAAAAACTTGCAAATAATTCTGAAAAACACACCACACTCCTAAAGCCAATCCTGACCGCCCAGCCACCTTTATCCAGGTCTGATGAGGGTCTTAGCACTCTGAAAATTCAATCTGTTTCATGACCAACACCATCGAGGTAAAAAAAGAGAATAACAAGTTGCCTCAGCTCTGTCTCAAGTATTCCAACTAAGTAAAGGAGAAATCAGCCTCTTAAAAACAGTTCAGTTTTTGTAAAGCCTCAGTATGACTGATACTGAATTCCATGAGTTAAGAGGCCCTTGGTAATACCTAAAATCATTCTGTACTGCATTTTACTCTTTTCACAAGATTTTCAAATATATTACCTCCCTATTGCAACCTTATTACACAGGAAGGGTGCAATCACCTTACTTACAAATGACAAAAACTGAGGCCCAGAGAAACAGAGAGACACGCGAGTCTCTACACACACGGTGGAACAAAGCAGGATGAAACTGATGGTCTCCTTGACTGGTCCTCCAAGTGATCTGAACAGAACCCACCGTAAGAGCTGGACTCTGACCCCAAATTCTTAACACCCTCCAGGGCCCAGCTCAGGACCAGGCGCTGTGGTAGGGTGGGTGTACTGACAAATCGCATGATTTATGTGTCACGTGTCTTATTAAGAAGATCATTAAAAATGTGGTATAGTGGAGCTATCTGTGTTTTTTCCAGAATTTTCCTCCCTTACCCCAGGAAAATCTCATTAGATGCTAGCGTCCTGGGAGCTGGTGGGCAGGCAGGGGGCAGCCCTCCTGCTAGAGGGGAAGGGTAACTCCTGGCCAGGCCCTCAGTCACAGCGAGGATGAGAACAGGGTGTCTTCAGTGCGGTACTTAATGCAAGAGTGTGCCCCTTATCAGCGTCTGAATGATCTTCCTGTTACAGTTTCCAGTGGGTTCTCTGCTGCTGATGCATGTCGGTGTAGGACCTGCTGTCCTTAGATGTCCTACCCTGGTCTGTACAGGTGGAGCTCAGTCATACACCCAGGAGCTAAGCATCAGACCCTCTCAGATAACGATAAGTGGATTGAATTATACTAACCCTGGAGCAGGTGACTGAAACGTGGAAGACATGGATTAGCCCGAACTAGGCAATGTGACCTCAAATATTCAGGACTGGAGGGGTGTGGGGGTGGGGTCTCTTCCCAGCACTTAGTCACTGGCCCAGCAGCTGAGATGCTCTCTTGACTCCTCATGTCCCAGGCGACACACAGGCTTACTTCATCTACCTGGTCCCAAATAAGACACTGGATAACTCATGATCTTTTCCACCTCCATCTTGCATACACATCTGAGGCGGAAACTGGTCCACTCATTTACCAGAAACATTTAAAAAAAGATAAAATTTCAAACTTGAACCAGACATGCAAGAAGTTGGTGGACACATCTTGGCTTTTAAAAGTTCCTAAAATGAACATGCTAACCTGAGATGCAAGGCGACCAGAAACCCAATTCTATTTCTTATTTGAGCTGCCAAGCACATAACCTCATTTTGTTCTAATTTATCCTTCTGGAAAAAATTCAAAAGTGTGTGTGTGTGTGTGTGTGTGTGTGTGTGAGAATTAGTTAAAAGTGAAAGCAAAAAGAATTCTTTCAAATTTCAAGACCATAATGCAACTTTATAACTTTAAATGGAGCTTACACTTCACAAAAACCATAATCATAATTCCTTCTCTCAAACTTATAAATTCAATCTCTTCTGATTCTTTTCCTGTTTTCCTAGCAAGCTCTTTCCTCAGAGCTATGAAAAGAGCTTCCTGTCAAGAACCTCAAAGAAATACACTAAGAAGGAATCTCAAATGTGATGATTCTTTGCAGGAGGAACCCCAGGAAATACAAAGATCTGAAAAAGACCTGCAAGGTACCAGGACTTACCCTGGTCCTCAAACTTCCTCTCTAATAAATTCCAGAGAACTGGAGGGACATAAAGACGGCTGTCAAGTCAGGGACGTGGCGAGGCCCAGGGTTAATAGAGCATTATCCAGGGCAAGACCTCGGAGGAGTGGGGAAAAGTTTAAAATAACTAGTGAAAGTCCATCACTGCAAGAAGATATAGAAAACTTCTAAAACAAAAAAAAAAGTATATAAACCAACTGGACCTTATTTTTATGTAGGTTTTCCCCCAAATATATAGCAATCTATGCCACAAAACTGCCCCCAAAGCCTACCTGAATCTTCCTTTCCTTCTCAAGATCTACAAGTTACCTCCAGTATCTAAACGCACTGAAAAGTACTAAAGTCACATTAGGCGTGCTAGAGTTTTAAGGTAAGGTTTACACCTTAACTTCTGGGAATCTAAACCACCACAGAACCCCCAAGGGCAGCTCATTCCCTGTCTGAGGTCCCCGTTCCCCTGAAAGCACAAGCCAGCTCCTATTTGGTTAAATCTCATACAGGGCAGGAGGGGGACATTTTCCAGGAGGCTCTCCCAGGACAGCTTCACAGCATCTGAGAGTCAAGTCAGGTGAGAAAGCAGGAGGAAAGACTTGCCCGGGCGCCCCAGGTCACTGTGACATGTCATGGTTGATTTGCCCTCATCTTCCTGAGTCTTTACTTCACCTTTTCCAAGGTGAAGACACACTGCTGAAGGGTCCTGGGATCACCAATTCTCTCCAACACATTTACCTCCAAAACTTACAGAAAACCCTAAAGCAGTCAACAAAGACAAAACCCATAACCAGTCCTTGGCCCAATTTTGTGTTCTTTACTAGACACTGACAGGAAGTCAGAACACCACACTGAAAATGTTCCCACCAAGTTACAATCAGTTTCCCTAATATGGCCAGGGCCTAAATATAGCCACAGTATTTTTTGGTTCAAAATACACTCCATTGCAGTTGTGGATGGAGGGAAACACTGGTGGACAAGTGAGCAGAGAACATGACAAACTATGGCCAGGCATTTGGGGCTCTCACAAGCTAGACAAGGGCTGCTCAAGCAAAGATAGCTGTAATTCATGCCCTGTTCCCTCCAGGCTTTGTCCCCCACCCCCACCACCAAGTCTGGGTTACTGGGAGGAAGAGAAGAAATTACACACCCTGAGCCGCAAGTAATTCTACCGTTCCCTGAAGCAACAGAGCATCACTAGGACCCACAGCAGTGAAAGGGGTCGATTGCCCTACTCGAATGGTAACGATTCAGTTCACCTGCAGAACACAGGAGAATTTAACGAAGGTGTGTCGTCTTCACAACTTACCTTCCAAACAGCAGCACACACCGACACACACACCACAGACACTAAATACTGGTAATATCCACGAAACTGCAACGAGGGGCTTTGTGTGCTTCCAGTGAGTGGAATTTTAGAAAAGCAAAATCTAGAGCATAAAACTTAGTCCAAAATGTATTCAAAGTTTCACTTAAAACTTTTAAAAGGCTTATTACACTGAGTCTAGACCTAGTGCACAGATAGGAAGACTTTAAACTTTTTGCAAGGCACTTTAACCGAAAAGTGTCAGGACTGGAAGGAGATGCTCACTTAAAATACTTGATAGAAAACAACAGTTACGGGAAAGAAACGAACTTCTCAACGCAAACGGGCTGAAAAGCAATATAAGAAGGCCTCTTTTAAAAAGAGCCCCTGAAAGCAGACGAGCCTAGAGATTTCGGACTGGACTGTCTGGTCACACAGCTCGGGTGAAATGCAAGTTCAGACACCAGACAAGCTGCTCGGTTCTCTGCGACTTTACGTCTCCCCGGCTGTAAAATGGGAATTATGGTCATAGCCGCCGCACGAGGTTGTCGGGGAAACGAACCAGAGAAATCAACCTAATGCACCCAAGAAGCCAGCGCGCCCCCCGGGCGAGCGGCGCGTCTCCGGGGGCGCGTGTTGGGAGGGCAGGTGCGAGCACACACACCCCAGCTTTGTGAGCCCCCCTCCCTCGGCCACTTCCTAGAGCATCTCGGGCCCCGCACACACCACGAGCCGCCGGCCCCGCCACGACGGGGAAACGACACGCTCCCATCCACGCGTCCGAGAACCGGTCCCCAGGCCAGGGAGGAGGAGGGTGCCGCGCTCGTGCCGCCTCGCGCTTCCAAGTTCAGAGCAGAGTCACGGACACAATAGGGCCGAAGCGACGCCCCGGCCCCCACCGCGGCCCCCAGACCCCCGGGCGGCACCCTGGGAGCCCCGGCAACCGCGAGCGGGAAGGGGGCCCGCGACCGCGCGGACCAGGGCCTGCGGTGCCGGAGGCGCGGGCTTCGGGGCCGGCGGCGGCGGCCTGGGAAACCGCGTCCCCTTTTCCTTTCCCCCATCCCCTGCCCCTCCGCCCCCCGCCCATCTGTCCCAGGCCCCTCACCTGAAGGCCGGCCCCTCCCGGGGCGCCCGGCCCGGGGCTGCCGCCGCCGCGGAGCCGCCGCCGCCCTTCCTGTTGAAGAGCCTCTGCAGCAGGGTCGGGGCCATGGCGCTGCGGTTCCGCTGCGGCTGCGGCTCCGCGGCCTCGGCCCGGCTCAGCGCGCGGCCGGGGGCGGCGGCGGGGCCATCACGGCGCGGGGAGCTGTGCTCGGCGCCGGGACCGCCGGCCGGTCATATGACGGGGCTGGCCCGCCGCCGCCGCGCGCTGACAGTTCTCCCCGCGGGAGGAGCCGCCGCCGGCGCGGGAGGAGCGCGGGAGGAGCGCGGCCGCCGCGCGTCCGCCATTGGCCCCGGGACCCCGCCCGGCCCCGGAACCGGGGGGCGGGGGCCGGGGACCAGGGGAGGGGCGCGGGAGGCGGGGGTCTCGGGGGAGGGGGGGGGGCCGCGGCGCTTAAAGGGGCCCGGGCGCGGGGCGTGGGAGGCGGGAGCCTCCACGGGGTGGGGCACGACACTTAAAGGGGGGACCCAGCGGGGGAGGGGCCCCGTGCTGAACGAGGAGGGGGGACCAGTCGGGTGGGGGGACCAGTCGGGTGGGGCTCAGGTGGGCCGGGAAGGTCGGGGCAGGGGCGCAGGGGGCGGGGCCGGGGGCGGGGCCCGGAGTGGAGGCGGGTTGGAGGTAGTGGCGCGCTGGGGGGGCGGGGCCGCAGGGGGGAACCGCGGCCCGTGGGGGTGGGGCGGGGGCCCGCGGCTCTGCGGGATGAGGGGGTTCCCGAGGCTGCAGGGTCAGTTGGAAGCGGCTGGAGCGCTGCAGGGCGGGCCTTTGTTGTTTGGAGACAAAGCCCCTGAACTTGGGTCCTGCCTGTGCAGGTGCGCGGGCTCGTTCCCCAGAGGCGTGCGCTGGGGGAGCACCAGGTCGCGGCTCTGCGGGTTGACTGGACTCTCCCCACGCCCAGGGTACTGGTACCTTTGCCGTATGGGCTTGCTTTTGTGAGTGTTTTCTTTTTAATTTATTTAAAAAATTTTGGTCGTATAATTTGCTGTTTGGCGTCTTGGGCCACCATTTCCATAGTTACATAAAAAGTTGCACGTGAAATTAAAAAGCACGTGGAATCCTCTACATGGATTTAGGAATTTACGCTATTTTATAACAAGGGACTCTGCCTTCCTGATATTTAACAGACCACATCCTAGTCTGATACCAACGGCAGACGATGTTTGATGTGGAGAAAAAAGAACTTAACTTGAGTTCTCTTACCTTTCGGTCCCACCTGGTCTCCGGGAGCACTCCAGACTGGGGGTGTAAAGGACCTTAGCCTTATAACGCTGGCTCCGTAGCTTTAAAACACACACACACACAGTCACTCACAAAGCTGAGATCCGACTCTGCTTCCTACGTGTCCTGCGTGAGCAGCAGACTCGGAGTACTTCACCTCAGACTTGTTTGAGGGAGGACTACTGGAGACTCAAAAAGGCAAATGTATTTCCGTGAATAGAAATAGTTCAAAATATCTCTTCTGGGCCCATTTTAGTCTGCATTATCAATTTTTATTGCACAGGTTTCTAGCCTTGGTGGGATACAAGTAGTGAGTGAAGACGTGATGAAATTTCACAAAGGTAAGGGAAAGGTAGTAGAAATCGAAACTTTTTTTTTCCTTCAGTTTTTTACCATTAAAATGGTGGATTCAGTGTTCTTGTTGGTTCATCCTTCCTCACCATGGAGTGTGCACAGAACCCTGATTTGCAGCTCTGCTGTTTCTCTCTGTTTATTGAAAGCAGGTACCCCACAGGACTGCCAGTATTGGTCAGTATCTGGTATTCCATCGGTCTCATCTGTTATGACTTTATTATAAAGATAGGGTCTGGGTCATACACAGCCTGCAAAACACCACTCTCTCTTACCACGTCCTTGGTCAGAAAAAGTCTTTTATTCTTTCCTTTAATTTTTATCCTTTTAGTTTTATTTCTGACTGTGCTGGGTCTTGGTTGCTGCACAAAGGCTTTCTCTGGTTGCAGCAAGCAGGGGCTACTCTTTGTTGCGGTGCTCAAGCTTCTCATCGTGGTGGTTTCTCTTGTTGCGAAGCATGGGCTCTAGGCTCTCTTGCTTCAGTAGTTGCTGCTTGAGGGCTCAAGGGCGCAGGCTCAGTAGTACTTTTGGTGCAGGGACATAGGTGCTCTGCAGCGTGTGAAATCTTCCCAGACCAGGGAAAACTGTATTCCCTGCATTGGCTGTGTGTGCTCAGTAGCATCTGACTCTTTCCCAGCCCATGAACTGTAGCCCACCAGGCTTCTCTGTCCATGAGGTTTTTCCCAGCAAGAATACTCAAACGAGTTGCCATTTCTTCCTCCAGGTGACCTTCCCCACCCAGGGATAGAACTTGAGTCTCCTGCATTGGCAGGTGGATTCTTTACCGCTGAGCAACCTGGTAAGTGTGGCTTCTTATCCACTGGACCACCAGGGAAGTCAGGTCTTTTATTCTTGAAAGTAAAATCTGGACACTCTGTGGTGTGCAGAGCAGCTTTTGGAACAGCATACCGTAGAGAAATTTGGCATGACCTTTGTTCCTCACTTCCTAGGGCTGTTTCTGTCCCAGCCCCATCCTAGGGTGTAGGAACCCTCACCAGAGGCAATTAAAAACTCAGCCTGCCCCACCATTATCTTCAATTTTGGACCTGACTGGGCAGCTCGAAAAGAAAAGTGTGCGTTTAAAGCTATTAAAAACGTTCTTAGGGGAGAAAAAAGGAACTGAAATGGTGCCCTTTTCTCACTTTGCTTCCTCTCAACACCACATTGTTCCTCATCCTAGCTTTGGCCACACCTCTCTTGCCTTGGATTTTAAAGTGTTATAAAAATCCTAAAGAACTGAGTTTTGGGAGGCAACTCTGGACAGCTCTAGCACCTCACTTTCATTATTTCTCCTCTCAGCCGTCTTGGGCCTTTTTCGAAGTCCCATGATAGGGGGCACCCTATCATCTGTGGGTCACTGCCTCTTCGTGAGGCTTGACATCACTCGGGGCTCCAGCACTGGTCCTTCTATTCATCTCACCCACCCCACCCTACTCACTCTGTTTTGGAAAATACATCCGCTGGCTGCTCCTGTAGGCATCAAGAGGAGGAGGAAATCAAACAATATCCTGAACATTTGGAGATACACAATAGCACTAGGGTGGACAAGGCTGACTTCCTTGCCCTAGTCCATCCTGAGTCCTGGTGCGCATTCCCTGGCATCATTGTGAGTTCTGTAAATTGCATCAGGTGTGTGGTTTATGATTAGACTGCCGTGGTCCCTTAGCCTACCCATTACCTGTTACCAATTCTTCCCAATAGAAAACCAGTCTTGTTCAGGTGTCTGTTGCTCTCCTGGCCCAGGGTGCCTCAGGGCAAGCCAACTATGCCCAAACTGAGTCTGAATGATCTATGGGTAATCCCATTGCTTTTGCAAGGTGAGCTAATGGGCAATGGGAGGCTATTCTAGACAAGGAGGCAAGAGGGAAAGGAGCTGGCAGAGGAGACATTCTGGAAGTCTCCTCACTCTTTGTAGAGAGCTATAAGGAGAGAGGTGGGGGTTTTTCTTCTTTTGGATGTTATGTGTCTGCATGTAACGCGATAGCCGTTCTGCAGCCTGAGCATGAAACCAGCCAGAGCAGAGAGGTGTGGCCCTCAATAACATTACTGATACACAATTCTTGTACCTCATTCGGTGAGATAATTGTCCCAACCTTCCCCATTTGATGAGATCACGGTTCTTGTATCTGAAGCCAAAAGCAGCATATAAGAGAGGGTCCTGTTTTCTGTCCTGGATTGCTTGACATTTGAGACCAAAATATCCTATCTGCTTAACCCTCAGTGTACCAGATAAACAATCATCACCATTGGACTCGTTCTGTTGTTTTCATACTTTTGTCATAATTTTTTCAAATTATTTACAGGAGGTAAGAATAAAGGAATGGTAAAAATAATTTTGAAATAAATTTTACTATAAATTTAAAGGTAGAAAAGTCAACTTTTTATTCCATATTTTCCTACATTTGGAGGAATGTTACCCAAATGGACCAGGTCCCTTGAATACAACTATTGACGGAACAGAGGATTATGGGTTTTTGCACCTCCAGCTCCATTTGTGGATCTTGTGAGATAGCAGGCATCAGGCATGTGGTTTTTTGAACAAATTAAATGTAAAAATGTTGATGTGATAGTTTTACTTCTCGGTTTAAAAAATTGCCCACAAGATGCTTCCTTCTTCCAAACTTTAAAAAGACAACTTCTTTTCAGGTAACACCTGCTTATTAATGCCTCTAAGGTGTGTAACTTTGATCCAGCACTCAATAAAAGCCTCTTAAATTAATGCACTTATTTCAGATTCTGTGGACTTTATTTCACCTCCATAGGTGAGGTCTTGGGAGAGATATAGAATCCCTCTCCCACACGCTCATTCACACTCATACACTGTGCATAAAATTTAGAAAACACAGGAAAGTACAAAGATGGATATAGTCATGTTTTCATCTGGCAACCTGGGTAGATAGAAATAGCTACACATAATATATTTATTACCTTCCTTCCTTTTTCTTTCTTTTTTTCCCCCTCTTTTTTTCATTTGTTTGTTTCAGAGGGATTTTTATTTGTGGATCTGATGAGCACCTAAGTCAGTAATTCAACAAACAGTATAGTTTGTTGTTCTTAAATCATTAATTCTACAGGAGTTTATCAGTTCGTGTATTTAGCCAGTAGTCATCCAGCCTTCTAATACCACCTGTGCTTTAGCCAGTGTTTGTTGCACAATAATTACTTTAGAATTCTGCTTAAACTTGTGATTTGCCCATAAATGTTTTGCCCTACTCCCCAGTTTTTCAAAGCTCACTAAAATGACAAAGATGAGCCAAGGTGTTAGTCTGCAAGGAACAAGAACAAAGGGAAGGAGAAATTTCCACAAACATTTGGCCAAGGACAAGTGTTTGAAGGTGGAAAGTGGATGAAGGAAGAGCAACAAATTGATCAGAGGAGTTGTTCAAACCCAAGAATGAAGATGCCTGTCAGTCGCCCCAGAGACTCTGAAGCCTGTGCCGTTGGGAGGTGAAGGTCCTTGAAGGATGGGTGAGGGTCTCCACGT